TTCACAACCTTGGTGTCCTGCGGCTTGGTCGGGTCAGCCAGCGCGAAGGCGTACGCGGTGCCGACGCCCTTCGCCTTGAGGTAGTCGTTGTTTGCGCAGCGGATGTAGATGGGCTTCTCGGGCTCGCGCCACCCGTGAGGGAAGAAGTCGGGCGTCGGGAACATGTTCATGCCCGCCTTGGAGTCGACGCCAGCGGCATACGATCCCGGCATGTTCACACCGGCGGTCGTGTCGTACGCGTCGACGACCTTGACATGCCCGACAAGCGCGTGTGCCTGCATCGCGTCCATGCGCGCCACGTACATGGCGAGCATGATGCACGTGTACGAGAGGACGAGCGGGACCGTCTTGGGCACGTCGATGTCATTCACCGCGCGGAACATGTCGCCCGCGACCTTGCGGTAGATCGGCTGGAGCGGGTCCTCCTCGATGGCGTACTCTGCTCCGCCACCTGAGCCAGTCGCCGGCCCGGTGGACAGCTCGAGGGGTAGTGCGGTGACGGACTCGACCATCACGCCCATGTTCGAGGGCTCGTCCACGGCGTCGGCCACAGGCGTGCCGATCGAGGCAGGCGAGCCCATGTAGACCGGGATGAGGCACGCGAGCAGGACGAGTAGGATGGAAGCGCCGATGTACGGGCGAGGCAGCGCGGTGACGAACGAGGTGAACTTGACCCACAGCCCGCCGCGCGCCCGTGCCTCCGCCGCATTGCGCGCCGCCGTCTTGGCCTTGAGGATGGCGGGCGTGTCGGTGGGGTTGGAGTCGGGGAAGGTGTCCTCGACCTGGTCGGTGTCGACGCCAGCGACAAAGCCGCCGACGATGCCGTCCGGGTCGAACGTGCGGGTGACAGAGTCGGCCAGCGCCGCCCGCACCTCCTCGTGGTCGGTCGCGGTGGAGTCCGACTTCTTGAAGGGGTCGTGCGGGAGGGTGCGGCCGGGGGACTTGGCGCACACCTTCTTGTACGAGGACTGGGCCATGCGCACCTTCGTCTCGTGGTCGATGCGGTCGGGGAGTTCCTCGAGCACCTTGGCGACAGGGACCCCCTTGCAGATGAGGTCGCCGATGCACTTGCCACCGTGCAACCCATTGCAGTGGGGGCACGGCTTGCGCCCAGCGGCTGCGCGGCCGCCGCGGTCCCCGCCGCCCTTGTCGGACTTGATCTGCGCCTGGAGAGCGGCGACCTGGGACTCGGCGGCCGCGAGCTTCTCCTTGAGCACGCCTTGCGAGGCAATCTCCGCCTCGAACGCCGCCTGCGCAGCCGCCTTGGCCTCGTTGGCGCGGTCCGCGTTGTCTTGGTCGAGGATGCCCTGCATCGCGAGCGTGGACGCCTTGAGGCCGTACGTCTTGCCCGATTGCGCGGCGAGTTGGCGCTGCATGCCGATCTGCACGCGCATGTTTGCGCCGAGCGTGGCCCCCTTGGCGGCGATCGCGTCGAGGATGTATTCCTCGATCACCTCGTCGGGGAGGTGCCACTGGGAGCCCTTGAGGAACTTGTTCGCCAGCTCGATGCCCGTCTTGAACTTGGCGAGGCTCGCGGACGTGAGGTCCTTGAGAGCGTCGGGGGAGTACGCCTTCTCGAGATCCGCGCGCAGCGCCTTCGTGCGCACGTTCTTGGAGTTCGTGTCCTCCGACTCGATGAGCGACTTGATCGCCGCGATGCCCTTCTTGATGTCGTCGTAGTGGTCGGCGTCCTCGTCCGCCAACATCTCGGCCAGCGTGTCGTCGTCCTTGACGGCGTTCTGCAGCGCACCGTAGAGTTGGCGCGACAGAGTCACCGCCAGGTCCCCGAAGTACTTGTCGATGATGGCCGGGATGAGGCCGTCCGCAGTGCCGATGTTCTTGTAGCGCACGTGCAGCGCGACCGCTTCCGGCCTCGGCGCTCCGAGGCCGGGCGGGATGGTGCCCACCTCGATGATGTCGAGGAGGTACTTGTGTTTGCTTCCCCGCGGTCCGCAAGTTGCCGGAAACCCCTCTTTTGAACTCCCCGCTCCGGAGACTTTGTTTTGGTAGGCCGGAAATTCCCCAGCTTTGCCCGTCCAACAAAATTGTTGGTCCTAATGGTCCCCGGGGGATCGTTTGGCCCCCCCCCCCCC